GGGTTTCTAGGAGTCCTTTTAGGATCTCGTTCGTAGACTAGTCTCGCGTCGTACTAGTTTCGGTAGACCCGGCCTAGCGAGATACTTCCGCCTATTAGAGCGTAGAGCGCGTAGCTTATAGCTAGGCTTCTATTGTCTATTACCTAGTATAGAGACTCTCGAAGGCGCGATAAATCTCATCCCTAGTTATCTCTAGCGTAGTAGGGGCAGCGTTCCCCTAGCCTTCTTACTCGGGTTCCTAGTAAACCTTAGCGTTTCCTATAATAAAGATCGAACCTAATATTACGGGTAAGCAACGCGTACGTAGATACTAGATATAAGACTTAATAGGTTCGATAAAGAGCTAAGTCTATCTATAGAAATCCGAATGGTTTTGTACGGTACGCTAAGCGCTAAGTAGTAGGTTAGAGTCGCGTAGGCCGAATACCTAAGGCTAGCGCTTTCTACCTAGGGCGTAGCCCTTTACAAATATACCTATACCTATTAGATATAAAGAGATAGCCCTACCTTCGGCTCTAATAAAGGACGGAAACTAATACTACTACTACTATAGGTAGTAATAGTATAGGTAACTAAGGGTAATATATTTTATAACAATATAGGCAGCTATATTAAGCAAGATAGGATAACAAACATATCGCTTAGGCTAGTAACTAGAGCCCTATAATATCGGTACTATAGAAGTGTAATATAAATAGTATACTATACGAGGTTGATTAATCTATCTATTATATAGAAGGAGGCCTCTTTTATAGGCTTAAACCCTAGCCTATAGGTATAGGGCTAGTTACTAGCTAATACTAGCTACTAAGCTATAGGGTTTACTCTATAGTTAATTAGATAATCTTCTATTATAAACTTACTTACTTTAAAGATAGCTATTTCCTCTATTATCTAAAACTATTTTATATCTAGTATAGTCTATAATCAATCTAGGATTGTAATCTAGATTAGCTTAGCAATTCTATCTAATCTAATCTAGCTTATTCTTACTAACTAAGCAATCTAATTCAATTTAATCTAGCCCCTTTATAAAGCAATCTAATTTAATCTAGCCCTTTCTAAAGCATTCAATTCCGGGGCTAAAAGGCTAAATTAGGTAGGATTAGTAACTTAATCTAATCTAATCTCGCCTAGTCTAACTAATTTAGCAATCTAATCTAATCTAATCTAGCCCCTATTAAAGCAATCTAATTCAATCCAATCTAGAGGTCTTAGTAATATAATTCAATTTAGGGGGGTCTAGATTAATTAGATTAATTATAGACTATATTGTTTATATCTTTTATTTAAAATAAGTGTTTAGTATCTATTAAAAATACTAAAAACTTATAAATAGTAGCTATACTCTAGTCTAGTTATAATAGTACTATAAGGAATATAATTTAGAATAGTACTAAATAGCAGTAGATTTTAGTTCTAGTATTTTAGTTTTATTAGAGTTCTATAGTATTATTATTATACGCCTAGAATCTACTAAGACTATAATAGAAAGCTATAGAAAAATGTATATATACTTTATTATATATATTTAAATAGAATTAAAACAGGCTATCTCTAATATACCTATTAATCTATTAGTTATACTAAAGTAATTTATATTACTTTCTATATAGGTAGTATTAGGTATAGTACCTACTATACTATTTCTATAAATATATCGATTCTAGTATTTTTTATAAATATTTACTATAATAGAGAAAAAGCAAGTAATATAAGAACTATATTCTACTTATAAATAGTAGAAGGCCTTAGATCGTCTTAAACCCTATCCTATACTATTATCTATACTCTCTATATACTATACTATAAAAAGTAACTCCTTCTATAAGGGATATACTACTATTATTTAAAATTTCTTACCCTACTTAGTAAAATTCGGATATATAGTTCGACGATATACTTCCTAAACGCGCTCTATATAGACGATCTAGGTATCCTATTAGCTCTATAAGGTATATATATCTATAGCTCTTAAAAGTATCTACTAGGATGCGAGCAATGTTTTCTTATATCTAATACACTTTTCTAACCCAGCTACGCTACTCGATACTATACGTATTACAACTACCAGGGAATTATTTCTCCTTGCATACAGAGCACCCCAGCTCTCGAAGATCCGCATCCGCACGCATACAGTGGAATTTAGATGCGACTCTGTCCGAAGAAGAAGAAGGATCGGGCGGCAAGCGAGGATGTCCGGAGCACAACGAAGTACATCGCCGTGATGCGCGAGCACACAAACAGTCCGAGTGAGAGTAGGCGCAGTCGCACCCCAGTGACCTTAGCTGTCGCAGAGCATTGTTGAAGGCAGAAAGAAATGCCTGGTGCGAGAGTGGCCCGCGGAATCGAGCGGTTCCTGCTTTCACAAGTCTCTCCAAAGCATCGATAACATCAGCAAGTTGGTATCCGATATCCTCGTTGGTCATGTTTTGGTGCTCCCCGATTTTGAAGAGCAGCTGGAGGGTGGGAATGATAGTCAAGTCGTCCCACAGCATTCCACCACTCATTAGAGTAGGACGGAGGGAATGAACAGCGTGGAGGACAGGTGTTCCAGGCGGCATCAGAAGTATATCATCCTGCTCGAGGATAATGAGCCTCTCCTCGCCACCCGGACTCCACAAGTCGCCGCGAATACTGAACTCATCGTCCACTACACTAGGCGGAACTATCATCCACAGCTTCACACCATCAAGGTTTCTGACCCAGGTGCCTGCCAGTGCATCCAGATGAGCCCCGGAAAAGGCGCCTTTCATCCCAAGAATGTTGAAGGATATGCAGCTGGCGACGTCGATCGGAACCGACTTCACATCCTTCCCAGTGTGAAGTTTTACGTTCTCAACGAGTTTATCAAGAAGCCGAAATCTACCCATTAGGGTGAACAGCGGCCGCTGCGCCTTGGCGATATCTCGAAGGTTGAGCGCATTGTAGCCTGTCTCAATGTCACTAACATCTCTGAAAATCTTTTGGGCAGGAGTAGGGATGGGCTGACTCTCCGCCAACCCCCGAACGTCCAGCTTCTTGCCTTTATATGAATCCAGTAGCAAGCTCTTGAAATTTTCGATGCTGTGGTATGCGGTATCCATAAAAGCTTCCTTGATAACGACTGGCTTTTTGAAAACCATGCCGTTCTCCGCTTCACGAATGAAGTCTTGCGACGTATAATACAGCACATCTGCCATCTCGAGGCCCGAGCCACCACTCAATGTTGGTAGAGAGCCGTGTATCTTGGCATAACGTGTCCTCGGTGTCAACCATTGTGCCCGCATATCGTGCTGAGCACTTCGGGCCGAATGAGAATGAATCTCGCTGCAATACTGTTGGAGTTCTTTGTGGTATTTGTTGTGCAAGACTTCTTCAATAGTCAGCACTTGCGTAACGACAGGTCCACCAGAGATATGTAGCTCGGACTCATGTACAGGGAGAGAAGAGGAGTGCAGATTCGATGCGGCCTGATCGTCACGAGGAGGCGGTGATTCTGATGGGAGAGCATCAGTAGGCTCCTCGGGACTAGTATCAGGCAGCGGAAGCGGGGGAAATGGTGGGTTTGATGCAGTTGTCTCCGAAGAAGGACTGCTGGTGTGATGTCCGCTGGGCTTGTTTTTCGAAGGAGGCGAATGTTTGTGCGAGGGCGGCTGCGCGGTGCCCTCTGGAGGTATCTTGACTGAAGCACGCGATGGCAGCGACGAGGCCGAATTGATCCGGGCATTGGCATTGTCATTAACACTGGCCGGGAGTGCTCCTCCGTTGATTGGCGACAGCGATACTCGAGGTGTAAGAACCCCGTAAGAGTCGGTGGTCAACAGCCACAGCTGTACACGCGGTTGCCACTCCCGCAACAGCTTTCCCCCAACCGGGAAATCGCCGAGTTGACTAGAAGTCCAAGACTTTTGATCATCTTCCACCGCCGGTAGGCCATTGTCGCCACGCCCAACTAAAAGGTCATGAGCGGCGTGCACATCCTGTGCTGTAATGCGGTCCTCGTCGGAGATGCGAGTGTATTTGGCCGACTGGACAGCTTTTCGATGCCGGGCGAGGAGAGCTGCGTTCACAAATGGCACGAAATCCTTGAAGTCTGGACACCTGATCGCACACGTCTGGGCGTTGGACATAGGCCTTTGGCCAAGTCGCTGAATTCCGTAGGCCATGATGACCTGCTGGCCCCACAAGGCGGTAATGATAGCCAGATTACGCCTCCGCGTTCTTTCGCCAGGCTTCAAATCCTGGCGCTGAATGATTTCACGAACCGATGCCCACGCCGGGTCATCGTCGACGCGAGGGAAATGAACTTTGACGACCTCACGCAGAGCGTTCAGGCGTATCAGCAGATCCTCGTGCGTTTCCAAGAGTCTATCTCGCAGCCGAGCGAAGTTTTCCATGGAGCTCCGTTCGTGGTGCACGACAAACAAATCGTTGAGCCATGCTGCAGTCTGATGTCCAAAGCCCAGTGACTCTGCTTCTCGATTATGCTGGCGGACCGCCAAAGCTTTTGCATCTTCAATGGCGCTGGCGCTAGGCGGGCGCGGGCGCGGGCGCGTGCTTCGCCTCGAAACGTCGCCGTCACGATGGCTGTCGGAGTAACTGGAGTTATGGTGGTCATCGGACACGAGTGGTGAGAGACGCTGTGTATAGTGGTGTCGCGTTCGTTTGCGATGGGGTTCCCGTTCGTGTTCGCTGACTTCCATCTTGCCCATCTTGCTTGCAGGTGAGCGTTGGTGACACATTGTTGAAGCCGAGGCCTGACCGGCACAGAGGGTGCCGAAGCTGACGCGCACGGTCCAAGCTGCAAGTGTCAATTACGTTCGCAGCTTGGACCGTGCGCAAGTTCTTTACATTCATCAACACATCTTTCTTTGCAGCACGTTCAACCTTTACGATTCGGTCGTCCACGAGCAGCGTAGACGTCAAAACCGTCGTGCTTGCCATCAAACACCTACTGCGTCTTGCCCCAAGAGACGGTGACTCCCAAAATGCAGAAGGAGAATGAATCGCCCCAACGTCCAGACGGCCAAGGCAATGTTCCACAGCTCGATAGCGGCTGTCTACAACCGCAGCCATATGCGTCGTGCCAACGTGAGGCATAGCAGTACAGTTCTACTTGGATTCCAGGTACAGTCGTAGAGCAGTAACGAGATATGCGGCCGGCAGCCGAAGTGATACCCGCAGCTTCTTCACACAGAACCAGCCCCAGCAGCAGCAAACGGGAAGAGCAAGCAACAACTCAACCAGCCTGTCAAATTCATGTACGCTTGGCAACAATCCTCTCCTCATACCTATCCCTCCCTAATGCACCTCTTTGTCGACATCCAATGTCAGCTTTCCACTACCGCTGCACCGCGACAAAGCGTCCAGGTCGCTTTTGCTGTTGCAATTCCTGCGGGCGCTCGCACAGACAGATTTGGCAGCGAGCGTGTGCGATTGCTCCTCCCTATGTCCTTCCTCTTCATCTTCCACTACATGTGCGGGCGGCGAGTCAACAACATCCGACGCAGGCGTTTGAGCGCCGTTGTCGTCGTCGGATGATTGGACATGGTCCAGACGCCGAGAAGGGGTAAATGAGCCTGTGTATCTCTCCTCCATCATCCATTCTCGATATTTCTCTCGCGCGGACGGCGGCGTCGAACCCGGAGTATAGGCTTTGGCTAGCTCGGCGCCGTATTTTGTCACACGACAAGAATGTTGAATGCGCGCGAAGGCGGCGTCCTGCTGCTTGTGTCGGCGCATGTTGGCAATGTAGGCGTCCATAACGAGTTCGCCGAAGTTGGGATTGTTTGCAGCAAAAGCTGCGTGCTCGAGACTGCCGCTAGAAAGAGGCGGAGGAGGAGGAGGCGAACGGGAAAGCGGTGGTGGAGTGAGTGGTGAAGCGTCTGTCCTGGTTGGTAGTGTGGTAGCCGTGGCAGTGTGGACAGAGGGTGTGGCGGCAGGAGTGTCGACAAAGATCTCGCTTGGGTAATCAGCTCGTGCGCGCATACGCTTAAGCGGTCGCGAGCTGTCCTGGTGGCCAGATTTGAGGATTGCCGGGGACAGCGGTGGGGTGAGAGTGGGAGTAGGAGAGCAGCTTCGACGGCGCTTTCGACAGGCGGTCGCTCTGGCGGTGGTGGGTGAGGCGCGGTGACCGGCGCTCATAGTGCTTGTCGACATGATGTTGGCGCGGCGCTGCTACTGGAGGTCACTGGGTGCTCGTGGTGCTCGTCACAAAGTTGATGGTTGGTGTTATGCTTATCGGAAGATGCAGGCAGGCAACGACAGATGCTCGGAGTTCGGAGCGGGCCGCATGGGAACAGCCGAGTTGACTTCGTGACTCGACACGTCTCGCGAGTATACACCACAGCTGCACAACACCACAAACACACCACAACACCTGCACAGACCCCAAACACCTGCACACACGTCTTGAGGTACTGCCGACCAACTGAATCATGCTCAATCGAGAGGCAGAGGCAGATGCAGATGCAGGAGCGGACTTTGACCCTTTCGCGCAACTTGCGGACTGTGGTGGTGACACGCAGTCTTTCAGCTCGCGCCTTGCGGCTACCTATGCGGATGTGAATAATGTCAATGCGAGCGCGGATGCAGATGCGGCCAGAGACTCCCAGGCTGCCGACGCTCCAACAAGTACAGCTTTGAACGTCTTCACTCTCAGGGCTGCCAACTACGCTGCGCTGGCGTCCATGCGTAGGCTGACCGAAGTCGTGACTAGCCAGCCTCTCCTCAAGTCTTACGAACATGCCCGTCAGTTCATCCAATTCGATCCGCCGCAAAGCGCCGCGTCTGCTCTTGGGCTTCGCGACTCCTCACCGCTTTCCGTGCCGAGCAGCTTCGCCGCGGGCCAGGACAACGAACTCAGTGTGCCTTCTGCCCAGCCGTCATCTCCATCAATTGTCTCGCACGCCCCGGACTTCAACGCTATCGTGAACTCGTGTTCTTGGCTCGTGTCGCTGGCGCATGTGATTAGAGACCCCAAACTTGGCTGGGTCTTGGGCCGTGATGACGACAAAGCAGACCTGCCGCTCAAGCCGAACAGTCCTACTATGGTTCGCCTTGTCCACGCCTCCTTCAGATATGACCCGAGTGGTCAACTTCAGCTCTACGCACTGCGTAAAGGCGTCACACTGGACGGAGTCACCTTGCCCGAAGGTGAGAAACGTACATTACATGCTGAAAGCCACAACATTGGGATCGCAGATATGAGTTTCACATTCCAGTCGGCTCGCCGCCGTGACGAAGATTCCGCTTTCCGCCAGCACCTGCAACATTGGGCTCATGGACTCGACTTGGACATCCATCCTCACAAGTACTTGTGCGCTACGCCAAAGCACGTCGACATTCTTGCCGGTAGGTACAGGGTTCTCGCTGTTGTTGGCGTTGGCGGCCTCCAATCCATAAATGACGGACGAACGACTATTTTCGGCGGCGTCGATGATAAAACGAACACTGCCGTTGCCATCAAGACATGCAAGCGGCTCGATCAACGAAGTGCTAACGCCGTTGCTGACGAGGCAGCCATCTACCGCAACATTACTTCTGCTATGCCTGCGCCACCCTCTGTGGCCGACTTTGTCCTCAGACTGCATGATGAGGTTCCTCCAATACTTGAGCTTCCCATTGATCAGCGCGATACTGTCCACTTGGTCTTCTCTCCACTGGCAGACAGTGATCTTCACAGTTATGCTTTTGGCACCCAAAGCTACCTCGATGTGCCTACGGCCATTGCTCAATGTCTTTTGGCCGTACAGTGGCTTCACTCCATCGGCTGGATCCATCGCGATATCAAACCTAGCAACATCGGGGTTCGAAGTCATCCTTTCCGCATCGTCCTCCTAGACTTGGCCCAAGCCATCAACCCCAAAACCTCACCAGATGCTTGCGTTCCTCGGCCCGGCACTCTCGGCACTCTCGGCTACCTCGCACCAGAGCTGGAGAATGCCGCATTTTGCCCATCTCCTGCCTCGCCTAAGTACGATTCAAAGGTCGACATCTTCTCGCTCGGAGTCGTAGCGCTCGACCTCTTACATCGACCTCCGTCTCACCATCAAGATGTGGAATGGACCCGTAACCCCAACCCTTTTCTCAATAAACACGGAGGAGAATACCAAAGGTTCAAATCCGCCATTGCACGACTTCGATGTTCAGATCGACTTTCCCCAGAATTCCTTATAAGTCAAATGCTGGAGCCTTACCCAACGATGAGGCTTGACGCCGATAGCGCGCTGCGACATCCGTTTCTAGAGACAGCAGTAAAAGAGCAGCGAATGCAGTTGGAGAAGGCGAAGGAGGCACAGACTCAGCCCGGAGAGAAGAGGCAGCGTAGCGGAAGTTGAGGCAGGCATGGACCGTTCACTTTTTCCAAGTGTGGGCGCGAGGAAAAGCTCATGGGCTTTGAGCACGGAAGCAACTCGTTCGAACTTCTTGTAGCTGGAGGTCGAGCGAAGATGCGGGAGTCGGGTTTGGTGATTGTGCTCGTGGACATACGGAAGCGTAAGGTGAAAGAAAGTTCCAGTTGAGTAACGAGGCCCATCATTTGGTTGACTGGTCCGCGGCAGCTATGTCAGGCACACAGCTTGCCCAAAGGGAGAATTCCTTGCCTCCTTGCCATGTCTGCTCCGACTGAGCATCATCTCCACCAGGCCCGTTCAGGAAACCATACATCCAGTTTCGGCTTTCTCATAGTGTCTCTCTGCTCCTTCAACTTCCCGTCACTCCAATGAAACCACTTCCGCTGCAGACGCAACGCTTTGTCGGAGGAGCTCCGGAAAGTATTCACTCGAACTTTAGGATGCCTGAGATTATGTGATGGAGCGTCAATGCGGTCCAAGGCCTCGGCGAATGAAGAGTTTCCCATGAGGCAAGAGTATAGGGTCCTTGTGACGGCGTTTGGATAAGCCAAACATCCGAAGAGGACGTCCTCATCGAAACGGCTATGCGCAAGAGTGACAGTGTTATGGCGGGACGTCCCTACGGCGTCCGTGGGCTTGGGAATGTTGCCACAGGTGATGGGTATCTCGATTGAACGAAAGTCGAACAGGTGTCTTTCAGCCTCAGGTTCATGGATTTTAGTCTCGATCTGCTAAGAAGTCATCGAACTTACGTCTGTCCTCAAGAGTCTGTTGCACATGCGGATGTGCAGAATTGTCCCGCTTCGTCTTTCCTCCTCGTCTAGCACATGGATTTGAAACATATCGCTGCGAGGCATTGTGGCGATCTGTCCAGCGAGTTCTGTCCAGCGAGTTCTCCCCAAACCACCTTCCGCCCCTCAAATGCCTGCAACCGGCAGTGCTGCTCGATCTTGAGTAGATGGAGATCATCCCGAGGTGTAAAGGAGTGCAGCGATGGTTCGTTCGTAGAGGGCTATAGCCGCCGTGGTACTCGTGCATAGCCCAGTCGAAAGATGTAGCCACGCTTTCTCGGGATTTCGGGCGATGTAGAGACGGTATGTAGAGTTCCGGCTCGTCAAACCAATTTGATCGCTCCTAGATTCGTGGCGAGTTCCATTTCTGTTCATTCCCGTAGACTTGATGCACACTACCAGTTCCGACAGAGCCTGCTGACCAGCGTCCTCCACACTATTTGGTGATGTCGGATACTGCGCAGCATGGCCTAGCAAAATTTGATCATGAGCCTGAGCCTGAGTCGTGTGCCACAACCTGCCACCCCCATGTGCGAGGAGACGTACTCGGCGCGGCGTGCTGAGTGCTGGATGATTTTGTAACACGCTGAGTAGAGTAAAGCTTCTCTGTATGTATGGGCTGCCCATTCCGCGCGCCTTGTGCCGCCGAGAGATGCCGAATTTGAGCATTACTGAGCTGACAAACTCCTTGTAGAGCAACTTGCAGAGCAACTTGCAGAGCAACTTGCAGAGCAACTTGCAGAGCAAGCTGTGTAAGTTCTCGACGATGGACGTTCAAGGCGTCGTATGCTTCGGGAAACTTTACCAAAGCGGCATCGGATGCAGTGCCACCGGTGGAGATGTGGCAAATGCGAAGCAAGCGAACGAGTTGGCCTCTGGTATAGAGCTCAAAGTCTGCACCAAAGAAGCCGGCACCAAAGACTGAAGGGGTCGGCGCTGGGAGGCACATCGTGGTTTCGTAGTTAGATGGGAGCTCTGGTAACAGCGTTCCGGATCAGCACCAAGGAGTCGATCCGGCTTTGAACAGGAGATTATGCACATGCAGAGGAAGCTAGTACATAAACGCTCGAACGCGAGCAAGATCAAAGCTGTGTCAATGAGGACTCAGGGCTTGGTCAGCACGAGGCCTTCTCACAGCAGAGGTAAGGGTGTGTGTGTACCAGAGTCCCTTTGGAGTTGTTGAAGTAGCACCCAAATCTCGATGAGGATGGGATTGGGCCTGCCACAGCGCGCGAGGTGATGAAAGAGGTAGCGAAAGTCTTGGGCGTTGAGGCTGCTTTGTCGAGCGCCTAGCGATTCAAGGCAGTGGGTATCAAGACGAGCATGTCTCGCTCTTATACTACAAATGCCACAACCTGCCAGCCGTGGCTGAGCAAACGCTTGCTATGGAGTGGCGGAAGCAGAATCCTTCGACGGTGGCAGGACGATTGGACATCTTAAGAATGTGTACGGGCGAAGCAGACCATTGAAGCCGCGGCTTCAGCTGTTACGGCTTGAAGGAACCTCGCGGTCCAGCCCAGTCTGCGCTGTCAGTAAGAGCTCGGTATCGAAATTGGCTGACCAGCGTAGAGACTCTCGTGACCTTGCCCGGGGAGTGTATTGGCGTGATCAGGCTTGCTTGATAGATTGACGGAAGCAAAGCGGGAAATAGTCACATCCTCTGCATACCATTGACGACTGAGCTGTCGTGCTGGATGATTGACAGTCAGTGGACCCTAAAGGCTCAAATTGGCTATGGGAGGGCGTACTTTCATGCTCAAGTCCAACGCGACCACAGGCTAGCCTGCCCGGATCTTCGCTAGTGCTTCGAAGAGATGATAGCTACTTCGTTTGATCGGTTGTGCTTCGTGGGTGTCTGCAGATGTGAGAGGTGGTAGGCGTGTACCATGAGGCTTGGTCTCTGGGGAAAGTCCTTGCATTTCCTCCGAACCGCCGAGGTCAAGCAGTTGCAACTCGGCCATCCTATCTGTCGTATTCTCTCGTACATGAACAGTGCATTGGGTGTGTCCTCGAGACGAGTTGGCGTCTGTAGCATTCCTGGGGATGGGTTTAGCATCACCCAAGATGCTCTCGACGTCTGTTCGATGTTGATCGCTTGTAGAGAGATGAAGTGGCGGCCTTGCGATTCTTGAGCCAAGTCTAGGACACTGTTGTTGTAGATTTCCTGCGTAGAGCACGTCAATGAAAGCAGCTCGCGATTGGTGAGATTGAGAGCGAGCACTTCGGAGGATTAGGTGAGAATTCCCGGCTCTGCTTGGCGGGTGGAAAGATCATGGATATGTGCCAATTTCGCGAGACAGCTACAGCAACGCGGGTCACGGATTCGGACAGATGGGTATAGAGCATATGATGTCTAGTATTGAAAACCCAATCGGAACAGAAAGCTCGCTTGTGGAGAGTCACTACGGCCAGGTTAGGGTATACGGAGATGGAGGACTCTCCATGATTTTGGCGGTATGCTGAATCCGAGGGAATGATCGCTGATGAGATGCCCAATGGTGCCGAGCGCACGTCTGGCGGCTTGAAGCTTCAGGTCAGTATTCTAGCGGCCTGGTCTGCTTGGCTGCGGCGACAAATCTCCGAAGAGGAACGGTTGATGTCCTTCATCGGCAGCTGAATGTGCAGCTTGTGCCTGTCCCTGTTGGCCTGTTCTGAGCGTATCGAGCTCCTGCCGGCCTTGTTCCCATTCCAACTTCTTCTCTGCCACGCGCAGATCAGCACGAAGGGGGAGTCCACGACTGCCAGCTCCGTGTTTTCCATTCGCACGAACAAGTCAATCACTTCCTTCCCATCCTCGAACCCCAACTCTCGCCCGTTGGCAGTTCTCGCACCGAGCGGCCTCAATTCTTTCGTTGCCAAGGTGTGGAGCGAGGAGTGGTGCCTCCAGATGCGGCGCGGGATTTTGGGATGCAGGTTGCTCTGGAGTGTGTTTCTTGTGCTGCGCCGTGATCTCGTGTTCTCCGAGCGCTTTGAGGAGGTTCGCCGTGGTCTGGTTGCCGCCGTGGTCGAGGCCTGCGACGCTGTAGAATATTCATGGCGCAATTGATGATTCGTCAGGTGGTGGAAGTGGTGTATCGTTGGTGGTTCTCCGCTCCGCTCCGCGATGCTGGAAGCAAAAGGCTCGGCACGCTGCCGTCTTTGTCACGACTTTGTCATCAGCTGCGACTTACCCATTCTCAGCCTGCACGGCGTCACGTGTATGTTCTGGCACATCGTGAAGACTCGCTGGCAGATGTCCTCGTTCAAACGGAAGCATCTGCCTCTGCACCCTTCATTGAAACATGGAGCAAGGCATCGAGAAATTCCCTGGCAATGTTCGGACCCATTTCGTATTTGGCAAAGGCACATCTGAGGTTCGAGGCCAACTCAAACCTGGGAACTGGATGCCTGCTGCTGTGCCAATGCCATGGGCGATTGCTGATATGCTCGATGGAGGACCAGCGTTGATGTCGTTTTCTTCCAGGTATCTCTCCATGGCAAATACCAGAACAGCATGCTGTTGCTCACGGCTGCAATCCCTCTCAATGCCATCACCGTCTCGTTCCTAGGCCGTTCCCTGGGCTGGCCGCGCGAATTCCCAATTGCCCTGCTTCCTGCGCTGCGAACTTGCCCTGGCGGGGATGGATGCGATCCTCACCTCAACTTGCAAGTTCACTAAGAAGATCGATATTGTGGCAGGTCGCGAAGATTGGGATGCGGCTCAATGGGGCATCGCGTAGATTGATCGCCTGTGCTCGATAGACATGAGATTCCCGGAAGTGGTCATTGCAGATCGGGACCTGCGATGATTGTCAGACTTCATGAATGGAGTCTTTACCAGGCTCCGCTCCAGCCCTACTCATCCCCATCAAGGCAGCGCGTCTGGTTGTCGTGGAGCAACTATCGAAGTATTGGAGCACGTCCTTTATCGATGCCTCAGGATTGCGACTACTGGTAATGACGAGGTTATTGGTTCCACGGTTTGGTATGCAAGATGTATCTGCCATGGTCCCGATCAAGGCATCGCCGCTATCCCAGGATAGTCGAGGTGTGATGGTCTGGTCGCGCAACACCGGGAGAGGTGCTGGTACGCCAGTCGTATCGCCTGCGGCTCTATTGCGTAGATCAAAGCATTCATAGACCGAAAGCCAAATCATTCACAAAGCCAACTTGAAGCATTCAGTGCACATCGTAAGCCCAAAGCATTCGCAAAGTGACAGCATTCAGTCCATGTCACAACTGAAGTTACATCGTGCCCAAAAAGCATTCAACAAGCACAGTCATTCAATGAATGGATTTCACGTCGGAAGTTTCAGCGACCCAAGTGCAGAGGATGGAGCACGAAGCTTCAGTCTCTGAGTGAGTCCCTGTGCACTTTCACACTGTGTTGGCCTTTACACACCCGCTGTTGGATATGGAATGCCTTCTTCCAGGGAGGCTTGCTGTGCACGATGTTCGCTTGTCTTATGTCGAGTCGGATAGGCAAGGCTCGATTCGCGGTTGAAGAAGTGGGTAAATGGATCCCGCCCGAACCACGTAGGCTTGAAATGGAGTGCGGGCTCTGCATATAATCGTAAGAGTCGTGAGGCGGTAATTCGATGCCAGGTAAGTCTAGATGAATTGTATCAATGGCACGAAGGGGTGCAGCCATGACCGTGTCCAAGGCACCATCAACCTCGGGTAGCTGTTCTTCTCTTCTTACTTCATGGAAAAGAGCCCCGAGCTGTCGCCTCGTCATCAATATGCTGACATCGCGTACCAACGAGATAGGCTGCGACGTCACATGCCTACCAGGAAGCTGATCGGAGGTGATTGCAGTCACACCGATCCTCCGATCTCCTCCGTGATCCAACTCTCCCAATACTGCGCTTACGTGTGTACATGAGCCGACGAGTCGTTGAGGAGCGGCTAGTGACACTGGGAAGTCCACCGCAGACATTGTAGGCGCTCCTCTTGCAGCACGGCGTTGTATCTGTCGACATCCGCCTACAGGGTTCTTTATGAGCCTCGCCGTAGTCTACGACAGCCGACTGCGCTCCGTTATGCGAGGATTCGCGTGAGCCAGATCGAAGAGATCATTATGCTGTTCTGGACGTAGATCTGCATAGAATCCGTGAATCCAAGGCATGGTCAAGTTGAGACAGGCAGTTCTTTGTGCAAGCTTGCTATCAACCAGAGCCGTGGTGTCGTGGCGGCTTGTTTCAAGACCTCGTCGTCACTCGGGTGTGGGTACTAGTCAAGTTTCTATTCAATCGCGGTCAGCAGGTCTCTCGGAGTAACCAGAATCGTGCCAACAAGCTTCCCAAGCACCCAAGGATGATAAGCTCTCGACATCGCCGCCAGCCATCCTTCCGCTCTATCCGCGATGATGTTCGTATTTACAGATGCTTCTTCCCAAGACCCGATACGTATGGTCTTCAACCTGCTACGGTGCCTTTTCAAAGAATGTAGTCCGGCTCAGATGGTCGTAATTGGGATCTTTTCGGGGTTTGCGGTGGAAGGCAAGGACAAGGGCGCTCAAGTAATCTGGACTGCCAGCCGCATAACCAAAGTCCGTTGCTCCAAAGCTTCGCACAGGCTTGCGAGGGCTTCCAATGGGTATGGTTCGGGGGTATCGTGAATGCGAGCCCGGCGCCGGAAAGACGGGAAAACAGTTTTGTGATAGGCTTCCTCGATCTAGACAGACTTGTCCACGACTGTTGTGGCCGGATCTTCGCTAGGCAAATCGACGTGGGCAGAAATGACTCTGCCAAGTCCCAATTGGGATGGGAAACGTTCCTCGCAATCTGGTCTCTTTCAAAGTCCTTCCTAGAGTAATGGAAGCTGATGCCATTTGAGCACAATGAGGCCTCTGTCTGCGAGCGCCCAGAAACGCTGGAGGAGGGAGCGTTTCATTCATTATGAGTGCGGTGACTGGTCGCAGAGCTGCGTGGGACGTCTGCAGAAAGGGAATCGAAGAAGCAAGTTGCATCTGGATTGGACGACATGACACGGGAGACTGAACTTCACGTTGTAGACAGAATGCGGCAGCTGTATCGAAATCGTACTGGATGTCATATTAGGGAACCAAAGATTCCCAAAAGCTCATGCGCAGTTGAAAGTTTGTGGGATCGAGTGACTTGCCCGTCTCCCTTCAGATGCTGGTGCAAAGATGTAAGACAGCTGGGGAGCGATCGTCCTCTGGTCCGCATCAGCATACTTTGGATGTCATGAATCTTACCAGAAGTTGAAGTCGCCTGAGGCAATCACCATACAAGCATGCAAGGCTTTGACCATTCACCGAATCATGCCGCTCTCAGACTCTTGCGTCGCAACTTGCACTCCACTCTGCAGGTACAGCTTCGCCGAGCTTCGTGCGCACGACGCGAGGAGGTGAAATCCTGAGAAAAGACCAGTGGGTAGAGATACGCGGCAAACAGGAAGAAGAGAATGCCAACGACCAGAAGTTTCGGCAACACCGCCGGCGCCCAGGAGGTCACCACGAATGCTTTTGCTCGGCTGCTGCTTTTGCTCATCTGCTGGCGCTGCTCATCTGCCCATCTCCCTGTGCTGCCCATTTGCTCATCGGCTGGCGCTGCACATCTGCCCATCTCCTTGTGCTGCCCATTTGCTCATCGGCTGGCGCTGCCCATCTCCTTATGCTGCCCATCTTCCCATCGGCTGGCGCTGCCCATCTGTGTGTGCTGCTCATCGGGTTGTGCTTCTCGTCGCATGTGCGGTCTACGCCTCGTATCCGTCTCCAAATCCAGCCTTTTGTCCTCTTGTCATCAATCCATCTCGAGACGCTGATTGTGCCCCACCGTACACTACTATCATACCATGACGGCACTGCGAGTCGTGAGAGCAGCGAACATCCGCGGTGTGAGTGAGGCCAGGCGCTCGGAATCATGCAATCTGGCTGGACCTTGCTACGCAAGCCATGAAACTCGTGTCGGAGCTTGGGCTGCGCCAATGCATCGTCAAAGGCGTGGTACGGAAGGGTAGACATCGTGGGTGAGGCACTGCTGGGCTGATCAATAAGGGGTGCAGAATATCTCAAGATGTTTCCGGATGTATGGTATGGCGAAGAGACCATCTTGCGCCAGGCTGTTTTGTGACTTGAGAGGCATTCAATCCCACTTTGAGCCCAATTGCGACCTCATGGCGGTCGATGGAGCGAGCTCAAAGCATCGGGCTCATGGAAAGCACCGTGTCGTGTCGGTGCAACAAAGTCTGGCGGTGGTGGTGGTGGTGGTGGTGTACGCGGAGAAAGTGCAGCAAAGTTCCAAGTTGTGCTTGGCATAATAGGCTTTTCCCCTGGCCTCCGTACATCTTCTCCGCTCCGCTCCAACAGCTGCACCACGACAACATGACCATCAATCCGCAGCTCTTCACGGTCACGAGTCGAGGAGACGCCACCACCACCCAACCGAAGAAGCGATCGCGAGTCCTCCACTGCAGCCATTGGCATGACCGCAGCAACAGCAGCAACGACCAAGAAAGGAGAGGGGGTACTGCGGAGCCGGCACGGCAATGGCTTCGTCAGGAATACCATGACTACGCTGGACACCTCTCACTGCCAGCGTGAAACATGCGGGAGGGACTTCCAAAATGAGGTAATCAATGCTGGGAAGCGGGCTGGACATCGAGAGGATACGATGTAGTCAGCCCGACGTCGCAAATGGACTGGACAAGATTTCGGAGACTATGCCAAATGTCTAGCGCTTCTCAAAATGAACCTTGGAGCGGTCTGGACGAGAGTATCGGAGAGTGGACCGGTACCTTCACGGACTCACACCTATAGCGCGTGATCCATGGAGCCTTTCGTGATCCATGGAGCCTTTCGTGAGGCTGCGCCAGACCTTTCAAGAAGCACTTCTAAGAGCTTGAGTTCAAAGGCCAAAGCTACTGCTGGAGATGTCGATTCTGGGAATGGCTGTGAAGGCTTTGGACATCATTTCCGAAGCTGCGCACGACACTTTCCACAACTGCCATTCACGCGTCGCCTAAACTGTGCTTCCTGCTGGCCTCGGATCCATTGCACATCTCTGTTGTCACTCGCAACAGTACCACGAGTCATCAGCTCCATTCAACAATCCGGGCCTTTGCTATTGTGTTCCATTTCTGGCTGTATAGGCACAGGCCTCGGTCTCGATTTTGGTGGCTCTCTGGCTCTCTGGCTGTGTGCTCTTGGTCTTCTTCCTCGTGGGGACATCGGCCCTGCTCACGGTGGTCTGGATATTTGTGTTACGGGCTACTTGTGGGTGAAGGTGGCTACGCGGATGGCCCCAGGCAGGGCCATCTTGCTGCTGAATCGCCATCTCCCTCGGCGGTTGCTTGGTCTCGAGCTCTTCGCCAACGACAGCTTTCGTCTGAAGTCCTCCAGCTGAGGACAAAAGTGTTGCGGTGACGATTTGAACGTCACGCGGCGCATGCTTCATTGCAGCGTGTGGTACTGGGCAGATTGCTGCGCTGTGATGCCTTCACTCAACCTGGCAAACAGTATTGGTGAGCAAGCCGGAGTGGCGCTGCACGAGCGCGGCCCCCAATTCAGAGCGTGGAAAATGCGTGTCGGCCGCGTACATGACTTCGTTGATCAGGGTATGAGAGAAGATCCAGAGTATGACCAACATGGCGAGAACTGCGACCATCATCTTGACGGCATCCACAGGCGGACCATTTGATACATGCTCTTCAGATATGGAGCTATGTGCCGAATGAATGGGAAGATTCCAAGGACGTTCGTTTCTTTTCCTGCTGGAGCGTTTGGGACGGCAAAGCTTCTGCTTGGGCAACACCGCTTTTCCATGTACCGAGATCGGCTGGAGATTCACAAGTTCAGAGACACCCGGCCTATCTACATATCATACCTTTGTTGCCTGGAGTTCCTTCATTCTACGACGACCTTGTTCCTTGGTCTTGGTCTTCGGTATTCAATCACATTTTTTTGAGACGCGCGATGATCACTGGCGCCTTCGTCTAACTGCTCCTCCCGCCTGGAGTGTCGCGAACACTGATCCTTGCCTGGCCATGTGATGCTCCTGTGGGCTTGGGCTCATCGACCCTGGGATGCTTCACAAAGTCAGGCGAGCCACTGCTCGGCAGTATCCATCGCTCGTCGTCCGTCATCTGGGCTCCGCTTCATCAGAAGATCCGCAATCTGCGCCGCCGGCAGACCTTCGAATCTCCTCCAAAGTCAATCTTCTGCAACCATTCCTGTTGTGGAATGGAAACCCATGGTTGCGGACCAGGCGCCTGTTGGCTTCGGTCGCGCCTCTGCGGCATCGGCGAAACGTAGCTTCCCAACCCTTTGGCACCCATCCACCTTCGCCTGTGCGCACACGGTTCCTGGTGAGCTGAAGCACGATGCGGCCACCTTGGCAAGATATCCGCTTGACAATGCAAGACATTGCGCGACGACTTTGGCGGAGATGGATGGAACGTGACTCTGATGAATAAGAAGCTTGGCCTCTGACTGAAAGGACTCATCTCTGGCGACCGGAGCATCGATCAATCACTACCTCTTCAACTTCATCAGCTCCCACCTTGACTATGTAGGCAAAGCCGACGATGTGGCGCACGAGCTCACTAAAAATGTCAGTTCCAAAGAAACAGCATCTCCATGCTGGACGCGGGCCATAACGAGCACTTGAAGATCTCGTGGGGTGGCCGCAACGACACTCGGAAACGAATTCCAAGGACTCAAGCACTCTGGATCTGGTCGACCTGGTGCCGGCTGGTCAGTTGCCCGACGCCAAGCACGCTATCTGCTTGTGAACCATGCGTCAGAGGAGCATGCGGCTGCCTGCCACTTGCATGGACAAGCCGGTAGTTCTGTTCTGGGCGTAGTCTGCACGTGTCACCGCCATGGCGATTCAGACAATGGACTCTGCTCGGAGCGGGAGTCATGGCGAACGCGAAGAAAGGCTGTGGTAAAGCACGTCTTGCTCGATGCGTTGGTACTTCGAATGCTCATGCATAACGGCGAACGGTCGAGAAGGGAATGCGAGACAGCCTGATCAGCCTGCCTGCGAGCTGGTCAGGAGTCCTTTGTCTGTACTGGACGTTTTGCCGCCTGGGTCTGTTCTCGCCTTCGAAAGTCCAGTCATTACCGACACGACAGCCACTAGGAAGAATGCCAGGGTTAACAGAGACCACCTAGGCAGTTCTCCTACTCCGACGACCACTCCGCCCGACTCCAACACCCGCCCAACTCCAACAAACTCGAGCACACTCTTCCTACCTCACCACACCATGAATCGCCCTTTCCCTCCACAACGGACAACGCCATGGACCTCACGCCCCAAGCAATCATCCATCTCCCCTCAGAGCCTGACGATGTCGATACGCCGGAGGACGGTTTTCTCACTTCGCCACATCATGATTCGCCCCTTCTCCTCATGACTGGCAACGCCATGAACCTCATGCCCCAAGCAGAGAGGCCCATCTCTTCCGCGCCTCACGATGTCGACACACCTGAGTACAGTTCTCCCACTCCGCGACATTATGATTTACCCTATCCCTCCTTCACGGACAACGCTGTGGACTTCACGCCCTACGCAAAGAAATCTCTTCCGAGCCCGGCGATATCGACACACCGAATCGAAGTTCTCCCACCTCACTGCATCAGAATTCGCCAACTCCCTCCATCACGGATAACGCTGTGGATCTCACGCCCCAAGCAGATAGCCGATGTCCTCCGAGCATGACAATATCAACATGGAAGATCAAGTCAATCAAGGAGATCATGAAGAATCCCAAACCGTCACCACCCAAGAAACGCAAACTGCCACTCTGCCAGAAACATCTGAGCAGAGGTATCTCCTAAGCAAGGTAACTCAGCACATTCAGCGCCACTCATGGGTTTCCGCGAGCTTGACGGCGTAACCTCTACAGTGAGAACAGTCTATGGCGTGAAAAATGCTTTCGACGTGGCAAGTCTTTGGATGTCCCCAGCGCCTGCGAGTCTTGCTGCCCACGGTTCTGATCGACCTCTTGATGGCCAACAGTCAATGCCACGACCAGGCGCTCGTCACCTGCTGGATCGGCATACGTTCGAGACCTACGATCTGGAGTCACTGGACTACATCGTCGAGAAACTCCGCCAGATCTCAGCGATGGTGTGCAGCAGGTTTACCAAACCTCCAGCAGCGTTGCTTCAGTTGAACGGTCAAGATGAAAAACGATGAACGCTCAGGCAAGGGCGGCAAGATTGTCTTCACTTGTGATCACAAGCTGGAGCCATAGCGGCCCAGCAATACATCAGCAACGCCAATGGTGAATGCCCTCTCATCTTGTGTCAGGTCCGAGTACTCGATCCTGACCTCAGCGAGCCCAACAGCATTGCAGCTAAGGCTAGTTACGAGGATGGAGATACAAAAACAAGGACATGGATGATGTCCAAGATGAGAAAGAGTCCAAGAAAATTCCAGCTACGATTGCTCCAACGAGAAACTGTGACCACACCAAGCCGAAGTCGAAGGGTAGGGCAGGCATGGGAAAGAGGCGCAAACTGGACGCCATCGAGACTGACCTATCAAACCCGACTACTGGAGATGCCACGATAGCAGAACGTGCGAAGGAATTGCAGAAGGAGTAGGTGAACGAAGCTAAGCCTGTGCGCAGCTTCCTCGCGGCTCCATGGAAATTGTCACGCCACCTCCTGGAGATTTCCTTTTGATTAAAGATGGCGAATGTTCCTTTCCGAGAAATGGTTGCAATTCTCGATTCCCTTCGTCTCGCATGTCGCGTGATGAAGCTCACCGCCATGCCTCGGCGAAGTCTCCGAGCAAAGAGCCTGGGTGTAGGTGATGGCGGCTCGCGTGCGAAAAGATGATCAATGATCAGGTTCTCGGCGAGCGGGCGTGGAAGCGTGCGTGATGCTGAGGTCCGTATTACGCATAGTGGGTGATATGGGCGTGGATGTGGCAAGGAAGACTTTCATGGACTCACCTACACCGACGACAAGAGAGCAACAGAAGAGGGTGTGTTGTGTGTAGGCAGCGCAGAGACGGCGGAGATGCTGGCGATGTCATCAAAATGTTCGCTGGTGGTGATTTCGGTGGGGACGTTCGCAAAGGCAACAACGTGCCGGGCGACAGGGAAGAGGCAGATCAGGTCGAGGAACAGAGCAGCGACGATGGGGGCGAAGATGGCAGTCAGAGAGCTGAAGGCAGGCGCCAACGAACCAGGCACACCATTCCATAGCTGGCATTCAGACACTTACCAATCTTTGACGCGATCAAGCAAAAACATTTTCCACAAAGCATGAGCACTGGGTATCTCATTCTTATCGACATTGTGCTTGACCTCGTCCGTTTGCATTGCCGCATCTCCGCCTAGCGCTTCTCGTCGACATTGTGCTTGACGTGCAGAAAGGCAAGCTGGAGCCGACGTTGCAATCCCGCTTCTTTACATCTTTCTTTCTGTCGACACATCTCACCTCACCTCACCTCACCTCCCAGGCTTCGTAGTCATTCAACTCACAGTTACTTGGTGGTTGCGTCATCCCGTTGCCACTTCTCGCAGGCTGGCGACCGCAGCTGGCATCACACTTGTTGATCAAGTATCTATCCGGAAACTCAAATACTCATCCCAATGTTCTCGATTCTCACGATGCTACGGACGAAAGAATGCCTGTTTGATCTTGCCGCAACAGCCATCACACTTGATCAAGTATCCAGAAATTCAAATACTCATCCCAGTATTCTCTATTCTCACGATGTATCTTGCCGCAGCAGCCATTATACTTAATCAAGTATCCAGAATTTCAAATACTCATCCCAGTGTTCTCCATTCCCACGATGCTGCGTGTGCTAGAATGCTCATTCTATCCTGCCGCAGCATGCCACTCTCTTGGTTCTCATCCTGAGCGTTTTTTCGTCACCATCACATCTCAATGCTCTGCAACACCCACATGCCCATTGATCTTGTCAAGTCTGTTCCTTCCGCTGCTCCGTCCACCACAGCCATGGCGGAAAAGTCACCCACATCATCATTTGTTCCCACGCCCGTCGTACACGTTGATGGCCCATCGTTTCTTCTCCCATCTCTTCAGAGCTTCTTACGAGTGCTCAGCTGGACTCCTGCTCAGCCTTGCCTTGTTCAGACCAACGCATCTCGACACCACTCCAAGAAGTGCAGCAGTCGCAACTCGATCCGGGCTCAGTGCACTCCTGCTGCGGCCATGAGGGTTCTATGTGCGGTGTTCCACTACGATCACAAGATACTCCATGCCAGACAGTGGGAGGAAGAAGGAAATGAGGAGTCGGCTCTGCTTGTTCTCCATAGCGTTCTGCAATTGATCGACGTCGCCAGGTGCACCCGACACGAGGAAGGCTGGTCAGGCGCAGAGGCCGACGATGGGGTACTGATTCAGATTGTTGGCGACCTCATTACGGCAGCAGAGACGGTCCTGAAAGAGCAGCAGCAGGACCAGGCCCATGTGCGCTGGGATGAAGAAGAGTATGCAGAGGCGGCAGGACTGTTGTTGAGGACTCGCTCCAGTGGCTTGGATCGAACTCTGGAAGTGTCCAGCTTCACCCACGTATGGATGGAGAGGCTAAGTCGAGGATTCGCAGACTTCTTGGTAAGAATTGTCTCATTGTCTGCTTCCTCTTGGTTCTGGAAGCTGATTCAAGTCCAGACAACACGACCTTCACCTCTCCGTACTCAGACTGGTGGAGATGAATTGTTCTTCTTCGACTTTGAGCGCTTTGAGGAGACATGATGTCTTCACTGAGGACGGAAGCATCTACCCACCATTCGCACAGTTCCAGAGCAGCTCTGGATGTGCTCATGGTGCTTGTTGGCGTCGAAATCGGGCTCGCGGTAGGACGTGGGGAAGCTCTCTGAGGGCCGAGTGTCAAGGACGATGGACGTAGCAATGCTTCTCAGTGTCTCTCCATATTTGCCAGGAGAATGTCCTCAAAGAGTGGCAGTGTTGGTGTGACTGTAAACAATGCTGGTGACTTCCGGGGAATGGCGTAGCATTGAGTGCTAAGAGGGCTCGTATAAAGCAGCGCAACTCTAGCGATGGAGATTCTAGCAGAGCGATGACATCTGGGACGACGACGCCTGAGTGTGGGAAGTAGATTATACTGCACATCGTGATACAAGTGTTCCTTCTACAATGTGTCCGCAATAGCTCTAACTTACTCGTTGTCGAGATGGTTGCCGAAGATCGCCCAACCCATGAATACCAGAGCCTTTCCAAAGCGCCCTGTTTTATTGAAGCCGAGGATCTTCGACGCTTTTGCGGTCGTACATGTCAATCAAGCATTCGCTGAGAAGTAAGTTGGGACTGCGAAGCGATCGTTATTCTTCCACGTGTTCGCCAACGTTCTCCTCTCTATCGGCCTCGTAGCAGGCACCACGAGCAGCGTGGGAGCCGACATCTTCTGGCGGTGGGCTGGGGCCTTGTTGTATAAGGGAGTCTATGAGACAGTTACCCAGGGTGATGCCGTGACGCTGCGCTGAATGCTTCCAGGCGTTGAAGCGTGGCAGCTGATGCATGCAATGGGGTGATGTAGTGATGGAATCTCCACGCAGACTCCCATCGTCAACTCGAACCACGAAGCATACACATTGTGACCAGGACTGGCAAGCCGTACATCAAGGCGTGTTGGACCAGATGCGAGGGCGAAAGGAGCGCAACAGGCACGATGGGTGATGGACGTGGGAACAGTGTCGACACGATGGCGGCGGAGTTTCCAGGCGGAGCGGAGAAGATGAAAAGCGGCCACAGTCCTTGGCACGCCGGGAAGTGGAGTGATCGAACTGCTTTCTCGAGTCCGCTGCCGTCAGACTTCACAACGACATGCTCTCCCATCTCTGCCGACAACCATCTCCAACGTCATGCGTCTGGTACTGACGGATATGCATCTGCTACCCAGCCTGTGTCTGTGCCTATCACCGCATGGCGTACTCCAGTCGCGAAAGGCGATACTCGGACAAGTATTCATCTGAGAATGCCCGCGCTTTCTCCCCGTCTGTCGGCTGAGCATGTATACCATGACCAGTACTTCCTGCCCTCTTCTCTCTCTCTCTACACGAACCACGCAGATTTCTATTGCTCTTGCCAATACATCAGCAGCAGCATCCTCACGGCACTCTATACTGCAGCCCGCGCTCCACGCCGGACTCCACAGAATACTCAAGCAAGCAACCCAACGCGGCCCGCCATCTTCCGCCATCTTCCAATGCCTCCTCAACCACCACTGCGCACTACCGACGCCTTCGCGCGACTCAACACCATACTCCAGCGCCTGAACCACAGCCCCGCAAAGATCGCCATCACACGACAAGTTACCTACCATGCTACTGTCGCGCTTGACAATCGCACCCAGGAACTCCTCGCCAGTGACGAACTGGCTCCCGCGCTGAAGAAACACATCCGCAGCAAGTGGTCGAGGGGCAAGAAAGCCAGCGAGGAGAGGACTGCAAAGGAGGCGCTGGCGCGGGAAGTGGCAGAGTGCTTGGACATTGCTTTGACGGCGCGGAAGGGCCGCTTAGGAGGGCGAGGTGGAGAAGATGGAAACCTGAACAAGAGCATGACTACTCCGCCCCGTGTCGCGAGGAAGAGGTCTGCGGAGGAGGATCATGCTGAGTCGGGAGGGCGAAGTGGAGAGATGGGAAACCTGAAGAAGAGCACAACTACTCCGCCTCGTCTCGCGAGGAAGAGGTCTGCCGAGGAGGATTATGCTGAGTCGGGACGGCGAAGTGGAGAGATGGGAACCCTGAAGAAGATCACAACTACTCCGCCTCGTCTCGCGAGGAAGAGGTCTGCCGAGGAGGATTATGCTGAGTCGGGACGGCGAAGTGGAGAGATGGGAACCCTGAAGAAGATCACAACTACTCCGCCTCGTCTCGCGAGGAAGAGGTCTGCCGAGGAGGATCATACCGAGCCCGGGGAAGTTAGGGAAGAGGAGAGCAGAGGCGGAGCTAGGACATCACCTGCCCAGAAGAAGCGCAAGACTGTGGCAGGTGTACAAGAGTGGGATGCCGGTTACCAGGAGCGCGAGCAGCGAACCGCGCCTCGCAGCAGGCGCAGTTCTCCGCACCTAGCGTGGTAGATCGGGAGGAGATCTGCATGATCGATGGGAGGTAGTCATGGTGAATGATGAGATGAGCTAGGCATTGTGTATCACAATGATTGTGTATCACAATGGAGCATATGGCACAGTCGGTATCCGTAGAATGCATGGTGTGCCATGGAGGACAGCGAAGACAAAATCCAGAATGAGAGCACATAGAATGAGGGCACGATTGGTTACGAGCATACCGAAGTTGTGAAGTGTTGTAGAAGGTAGCATGCGTACTATTCTTTGCGAGGCAATGCAAGCACTGTTTTCAGCTGCTTCGAGAAGGAGAGGCGGCAATTTTTTCATTCATCCACCTTTTTCATCCACTTTTTCCATCCACCTTTTCCATCTACCTTTTTCATCCACCTTTCTTCATCCACCTTTTTGGCGTCTGCAATCAACTGTAGACTCAACTCCACGAGGCGAACTGATAATGCTGACGATTCTTCTCGACATCACAGGCGCAGATCTCCAAGGCAGCAGTCGTAGGCAAGCAATCTCATCACCTTTCCCGTAGCCCTTGACGAGCTCTGCGAAGCATCAGAGGCTATCGATCCTAGCCTTCCGCTTCTCTGCACGCCGATTAACGAGAAGCACGAAAGCGAGCAATGAGTTGGCAAAGAACAGCAGCATAAACACCAGCAACACCTGAAGCAACGAATCATGAGCTCAGCACTCGACATTTTGATGATCCAATTGCAACATGAAACAGCGGAAATGAGATTGGGATACTACTCGATGGTGGAAGATCGATTCCGTCTTGCCCAACGGACGTACATCAGCGCACAGGCAACTGGATGACTACTGTGAGAGTGTCATGATCAAGATCGAACACAAAAACGCGGTGCTACAGGCCCAAATGGAACAACATGCCAGGACAGTCACCAATGGGGCCCACATCTCTGCCATGACGAACTACACGAGACTTGTCATTTTCAACCTGACTACTTCCATCGGAGACGTTCTCCCAACGATGCATTGTCCGGCTCATAGCCTCGTCGAGATCGAGCAGAGAACTCGCGATGATTCGCTCGAAGTCGGGCATCATGCTGAGCTGTAAAGCCAGTGGGGATGCTCGAACGTGGTTAGACATTCCATCTTGGGATTCCTCATGAATCGCAAAGCCAGGATCATCATATGCAGGAGGCAACGCATGGCCGCAGTCGACTTCGTTTGCATCCTCCTGGTCAACGTCTGCTTCCTCGGATGTTCCGCGTCCTCGTGAAGCAGGACTCCTTCACTCTCAATTCGACCTGCACTTGGCGGACAGGTACCGCTCGCTCGTCAGCTTTCAGAAAGTCCGCCTTACCCCAGGTGTCCTCTCCTACAGTGGCAAGAATGTCCGGACATCGCCGGTGAAGCTTGCCAGGGTGATGAAGATCATCAAGGAAATGTTCACACCTCGCCCGATTGACGAAGATCATCCAAGAGATGTTCACAGAAGGTGTGAGGGCCTTCGCAATCTTCATGGTCCAAGGTGCCAAGTTTGCGAACACGAAAGCTGCCAACGCCAACAAGGCAAGACCGACCCGATGATCGGCCTCCAACTTATGTAACCAACTTTGTTCGGTTCAAAGGCGGCGTAATGAGCCTGGAAATTGCCTCAGCATTCGACATGGCAAGATCCTGCTTGATTGGGAGCCTGTGTCAATATCCTGAAGCTTGAAATGAGCTATAAGCCTTCTGGTCTACGCTGGAAATAGTCATATCAACGAATGGCAAGTCTCGCTCTGCGATACCATGAGTCAGTCTTCCTTTGCGACCGGAGCTCCTGGGTTCTAGATGGGCTGCTGCCACTACAGGCATTCAATGTCTCGCGACCGAATTTGCCATGACTCCGAGCATGATCTAGCGATATTACCACTTCTTTGGCGATTGACGACGATTACCAGAAACAGGACCACCAGTGCAGTTGATGCAACGAGACTGAAGCAAGGTGATCCTCGCAGTAAGAAGCCGAGACAGCTAGGTGAAGGCGGCAGGTGTTCGTCAATCGGCAGATCTTCAAGGCTCGAGGTACTACATCTGATTCCTGAGACAACTCTCTGGCGATACTACGCAATCTCTCCGGGTTTCCCACAATGACTAAATCCCTACATTTCGCAGGAACCGATGACAAAGTACCTCCATTGCCCCTCAAAAATATATCTTTAGCAAGCATTCAGCCTGTATATATCCATGCGAGGCATGATCGCTTCTCGACAGACGTTTCAGACTCTACAGTACTGCTGCCACAATCGTCGATGATGGCAAAGATCACAAATCCCAGTAGAACAAGAGCCTGGTGCGCTTCTACGGCTTTCTAGTGCCGAATTAATCACATCTAGGACGACTATGACAAATCGCAGCAACACCTCTCACTTATTCATCTCCGGCAGTTTCCTAGGATCGGCAACATGGTATAGCAGCACCCCACAAGTGATTCTTCCACTACGGTTGAATCATTCAGCCTACACAGGAGCGTTTCCCAACGACTTTCGCCTGACGAACTGCATCAGCTGCATTGGGTTGTGCTCGGGTGCCGATGGCAAGTATCTCCAAAGACTCACCCCCGATCAGTGGGCTATTCAATCGCCAACTTGGCGAGGTTAAAGGCCAGCAGCACTCCTCATGGACGCCGTTATATTCGAGACATCTAGGGCTACGAAAACATCATAGATATCAAAAGTTACGAGCTTTTCAATCAATATTGATTCGTCCATTCCACTCGGCCAACTGACTGTGGCATTACACCCTCATAAGACAACTGAATTCATTCTCCAACACCCGTGAGTCGAGCGAAATACTCTCCATATCGATAATTCAAGCGATGGGCGGCCCACTTCTGTCCTTGGCCCCGAACCTCTCTCAAGCGATACCCATGAGTCGCCAAACCGCAATACCAAGCTTGATGCACTTTCTGGCAGATCCCGCGGAGCCAGGGAATCCCTACAATAGCAAGGCGATTCATATCACATCTTCATGTCTGTAAAGACAAGCGATCCGAACTAGACAGCCCGCTTCGTTTCCCAATCCCCAGTCGGAAGCCGCAAAGTCGAATCTGGAATGGGATCCAGATGCACATATTCTGCAAAAGAATACGGAACGAAGGCTATGTCGTGTTCCAGACGACCGTACACAGAGACATTGGGAGTCAGAGAGTTGAGAGAAGAAACCGGGAGATAGAGATCGCGACCAGGTCACTATGATTACGACTACGAGACATGCAGCATCACCGCACGCACCCCTTCACACTGGCTACAAGGACTCCTCACCCACACCCTCCTCAACATAAAGGGCCACGACTACAGCGCAGAGCAGAGCAACAAGAGAGGATGCAAAACGTAGCAACGTTACATCGGATGCGAAGAGCAACTCCACCATCCTGTATTTATACACGCGAAAAGCAAGTTGGCCGCCCGGTATTTGTACAAGAAACAAATCCACCACCCAGTATTTGTACACGCGAAAAAGCAAATTGGCCGCCCGGTATTTGTACAAAAAGCAAATTGGCCACCCAGTACTTGTACAGTCGGAAAGAAACCAAACCACCTAGTATCACAACAAAATCAAAAAGCAAACATCTCAAACAACCAGCTGCCGCCATGAGCTTCAGTCCAGCCTTTCCTCTGCCACCTCATCCATAACCTTATAACATCTTGCTTGGCTGCAGTCCAAGCAAAATGCATGCAGTCAGGATGATCAGGCGCCATCTCACGGCAGCACTGAGGACATTGGACAATCTGTACAGACAGCATCACAGCTACTCGTCGGAGGGACGAGGCGCGGTAAGAGGTAAAGGAAAGAGGTGAAAGTCCCGGGGTGACGTGCGAAATAAAAGAGGCTTTTTCTACTTGTCCAAGTAAATCTGCGGCCGGCTTCCGTTTATAATACTTAGTGTAGTCTACAATCAATCCGGGATTGCAATCTAGATTGGCTTGGCAATTCAATCTAATCTAATCTGGCTTATTCCTACTAACTAAGCAATTTAATTTAATCTAGCCCTATTTAAAGCAATCTAATTCAATCTAGGGGCCAAAGCGCTAAATTAGGTAGGCTTAGCAATTTAATCTAATTCAATTTAGCTTATTCTTACTAATTTAGCAATTCAATCTAATCTAATCTAGCCCCTATTAAAGCAATCTAATTTAATCTAATCTAGGGGTCCTAGTAATCTAATCTAATTTAATTTAGGGGGTTCCAGATCAATCAGACCAACCACAGACTATACTAATAACGCTACTAGATTATTAGCCTATATATTAGTACTAATATCCGGCTAATCTCCGGAAGCCGAGCCACGTTTAGACAGTTATAGTAATTGCTAATAGAGTTCGTAGTGTTATTAAGAGTATAAGAGCTACGAGATTTTGGGTAGATAGGTACTAGAATAGGGTACCAGTAAAGAACGAGGAAGAGGTAAGTTAGATACAAGAGTAGAAGTATCTACCGTATTCCTAACTTCCCGAATATAGATTAAAGTACTTATACGATTCTATATATACGTTAGAAAATTATCTAATTAGGCGCCTATTAAACGTTAAAGATATTAGCTCTCTATTTAATTATACTAGACGCTGTAGCAAAGTACTGTAAACCTGAAACTTCTGGATTATCTTAACTATATTTAAGTATAAGGTACGCTTAGGGCCGTAAACGTTAAACGAGGAGTAGTAGCCTATTATTTCGAGAACTAAATTCTATTTTAGAGAGGGCTATTGCCTCTTAGTCTAACTTTTAGTTTATTTCGCTACGCCGAACTACGAAGTTAAAACCTCCGAAAAGCCTTTTAAGTTTTATCGCTAAGATATCGCCTTACTTAATTACCTAGACTATACTAGCTTATCGTTAGCTATAAATATTAAATACTAAATACTTAAGATTTACCGCTCGTATTTATATTTACTATTTAATATAAATAAAATCATATTTAATTTATATTTAATATAGTCTCGGTACGATAGGGAGCTTAGTTAGTAACGATTAGGGTTAAGATAGAGGGTGTTTTTAACAGTATAGTCTTATATAATAGCTAATTATATAACTCGTCGCTATATTTAGCTTCTATACCTAATTATAGTATATCTAAAAGTAAGTCGGCTACGCTACTAGTAGTACGTTACTATTACTTGCTATACTCGCTTATACGGATATTATTACTAGTAAGTAATATATAGTCCTATAAAGCGGTCCTTCTACTACTACTAAAGGTATACTCGGACTCTATAGATATAGCGAATACAGATAATAAATTAATAGCTAGTTATAAGAGCGTTAGATAGTAGGCGGTCCGCTATATAGGAAGGCACTACTATTTAAACAGACTTATATAGACTAGCTACTTCCGCTATTTAGTACTAATCTATAGTAGCTTAATAGGCGTAGCGGTAATAAAGAACTCGAAGGGGTTAATATTAGTTATTAGGACGTCGTTCTCGAATTGTTATTACTACGCAATTATATCTATTAAGTTAACAGCTTCTATAGCGGTAGTAGAAGCTACCTTTATAGAAGCTAGTCTATAACGCGCCTTGTATTTAGTCTATAATCCTCTCGCTCTTACTAGGCTATTAGTAAGCTATTAATCCTTCTTCTTACTACTAGACTACCGCTTATAAAGCTATACCTTACGGCGAGCTAGATATAGCAGTATTACAGTAACGTAGACACTACTGTCGTTAATTAGACGATAGTATTTATTAAACAGGTACTAAGAGGCATAGATAGCCTTTACTATAGGCTCTCGTTTAGTATGCTATTTCTTAGTACGCTCGAAGTAAGTAAGTAGCTATTCTATAGTCTCTTAGAAGTAGTTAAATATAGCGTCGTAGCCTTATAGCCGCTAAGTCGCTTCCTTAAATAGCATAAGGAATAACCGTATCTCTTTAAGGAAATCTAGTCGCTCTCGGAGAGCTAGTATTTACTTAACTATAGTATACTAATAAACAAGGCGTTAAGAATAGGTCTTATCTAAATAGCCTTCTTAATTGTTAGTAGCTAGCTATTCTAGCGCGTATTACTAGGCGGCTTCGGATAGGTAGAAGGCAGCTTCGGCTATACCTTAGCGAGCTCCTTAAAGGCGTTATAGTAGTCCTTCTCTCGCTATAGGATCTTAGTTAGTCGGTAGAGACGCTATAGTAGTAGCGTTTACTTAGTAAAGCACTCTATATCGAGATCTAACTACCTAGATATAGAGACCTTGTTACTATCGCTCTCTAGTTACTTATTAAATAGCACTTACCGTACTTAAAGAGCGCTTTAGTCCGCTAACTCGGCGGCTTTAGTTAGCTAAGTAGGTATAAAGGCCTATATTATAAGCTTAATAATATAGCTAAAGTAATATAGGCGGCGGCTCTCTCTTATCTAGTATATAAAACCCTTCTAGTATATATAGCGCTTAATCGTATCGTAGAGGGTATTATTACTAGAGACGCTATTAGTAGTTATCTAGCTAACCTTATAAGTAATTAAGAAGGTCTTAAAGGACGAGATTAATAGCTAAGCTATAAACTCGCTAGTATAAGAGCCTCGTTCTAGAGGTAGCAAATCGATAAGGACTTAAGCTCGTTTGCTATTCTTATTAACAAACTAACAATTAATAGCTTAGAAGTGCTTATAGCTAAACTAAGCCTTCTAAGTACTAGTGCTAAAGTATATAGACAACTAAGGGTATTAAGAAGCGCTATTTTAACCCTCTCTCGCTAGTTCTCGAAGTTATACTAGACCCCGCAGTAGTTCGGTTTCCGAACCACTAAACGTATATAGTTTGGTTTCTTAGCGGCGAACTAGCTCCCTAGTTCCGGTTTGGTTTTTTCGAACTATATAGATTCCTAGTTTAAACCAGAGACTATATTGGTTTTACTACAAGGACACTCTTATTCGACTGCCGGCTACGATTGCCGGCTATAATAGTAACTCTGTTACATTTACTACGCTCTTTTGCCGTTGCTAGGGCGTAGTTGTCGTTGCTAGGGCGTAGTTACCGTTGCTAGGGCGTAGTTTTGCTACAAGGACACTCTTATTCGACTGCCGGCTACGATTGCCGGCTATAATAGTTACTAGGTTGTATTTACTACGCTTTATTACCGTTGCTAGGGCGTGGTTGCCGTTGCTAGGGCGTAGTTGCCGTTGCTAGGGCGTAGTTGCTATTGCCGGGGCGTAGTTGCCGTAGTTGCGAAAGCTTACCTATATAACGTTACGTAGGCGGCAACAATTAGGGCTTCGCGATATTCTTATACTTTCAACTTCTTCCTCTATACCTATACCGACAATAACTACTATACGCTACGCCCCCGCCCCTTTCCCTTATAATAGTAAGAGAGAAGCGCGCCGCGCGCTAAACAGAAGATAGAACTAAAGACCGCGAGTTTGTTTTACCTAAGCGTCTAACTAAAAAGCGCAAGACTAAAGAGGAGTACTTTACGAAGAAGAATTCCGTACGAGACCGCGAGAGAAAGGATAAGATAGATAAGGATAAAAGAGCTAAGGATAAGAGAAGAAAGGCGCGGAATAAGGCATTCTATCGATAGCTAGCGCCTATAGAAAAAAGTGAAGGTTAGAATAAGAAGACAACCTAAGAGAAGGCTAAGAGGAGGAAAGAATTACGGCTAGTTTTCGAGCGTAAAGTTCTAGTAGCGTAAGTTAATCTAGCTAGCGGCCGTAGCTAGTAGCTATAGCCGGCAGCCGTAGCCGGTAGCTATAGCCGGCATATTTTTCTTTAATACGTTAACTAATAGCATTTAGACCTATAGCCGCTACCTCTATCGATACGACCGATAGTGACGGAGATATTTAGATAGCCGAGAACAACAATACTAGAGTTTAGGATGCCGCGATAGAGCTTAATACTACGAATAAAGGAACTAAAAAAAGCGAGGAGATACTATACGTCGATCTAGTAATAGGTGTAGTCTTAGGGCCTAACGCTATAGACGATAAGCGCTAGGAGTAGATCGAGCATAGTCAAAGAGACGAGATACTAGTAAAGGGCTAAGGCATAAGTCCTATCAATCTAGAAAATTATAGTTAAAGCTACTATAAAAAGCTAGCAAGGATTGGAATCGAGACTAGTCGTCTTTATATCCTCGATATAGAGTGGAAGTTTCTTTATTAGTATTAGAGCGAAGCCTTTGCGTCTATAAAGGCAAAGTGGCTTACGATTAATGCGATCGGGGCTAGGTATCTAGGAACGGTAGAAGTATTACTATAGGAGGAAGGGGTACAGGTAATTATTCTATGCTCGGCATATATAGCCGGCGTTTATAGCCGGCAGATACTAATAGTTAAATAGAAAGCGTTTCTCGAAGGCAGAGTGCTACTACTATATAAAATCTTTACTAAGGCAGAGAGGGCTTGTATCCGGAATCTAAGCTACTAGTAGGATAGGTTAGCGTTAGAATTCTCTGAATCTCTATATAAGCCTCCGAAGGATTACCTATTTTAGCGATACGGCTTTATCTCGACTACTCCGTAGGTACCCGAAGAAGCTCGAGCGCTCTTTAAGGTCTTTACTAAGAAGCGGAAGGAGTTCGAGGATTAGGATTGGTTAATAGAGCTATTAGTTAGTCTTAGGTTTCGTAGTTAGACTCGGCCTAAGCATTTGCTTATCGAGTGTCTTATACCGAAAGAGGATAGATTAAGACTAAAAACGAGCTTAGATTCGTTAGGTATAGTAGCTCGGTTCCGTTAGTAGGAGAGAGCCGCCGTATAGAAGGCAAAATTCAGGTAGTTAGGGTAACTAGGAAAGAAATTCTAGTAGTTAGGCTAGCTAGGGTAGCTAGGAAAAAAAATCTAGTAGTTAGGTAGCTAGGAAACAAAAAAAAAGGTAGCTAGCTATTTACTACCTAGCTATTCCTAACGATACGAT